AGGGAAACAGATCTTCACAGATTATTTGCTTTGCATACCTTCCAGACAACAGAAATAAAAGAAAGTAGGCAAATATAGCAAACAAGGAAAACATGGGTAACAAAATAAATTACTCCAGAAAGAAAAAAATCTTATGGGGCTTACAAACACCACTACCAACAACAATAACAATAACAAAAATAAAAAACAAAGGGATCATTAAGAGATTTTTTTCTAGAAGAAATTTCTAAGTAGTAAATTAGTAAAGCAGAAATCAGTAAAAGTGATGGTGGAGGAACAAGCCTGAAATGCCATATGCTAAACTTCACAACACCTAGGGACACAATATTGGGAAACTATATAATGACAAAGAGGCCTCTTTGTAGCATAGTGGATAGAAAGGTAGACTAAGAGTTATAACTTGTACTCAAATACTGCATCAGACACTAATTGTGTGACCCTGGGCAAGTCAATCTCTGTCTGCCTCAATTTCTTCATCTGTAAAATGAGAAAACTAATATTTCCTACCTTGCATGGTTGTTGTGAGGATCAAGTCAGATGATATGTGTAAAGTGCTATGTTTAAAGCAGTCAGTTAATAAACATTAGTTAAATGCCTACTATATGTCAGAAATTGTATTAAATGCCAGGGATACATAAAGAGGCAAAAGACAGTTACTGTCCTCAAGGAACTCATAATCTAATGAGAGAGACAGCATGCAAACTAATATATACAAACAAGCTATTTACAGTATAAAGAGGAAATAAAAGAGAGGAGGCCCCTAGGGCAGCTAGCTGGCTAAGTGGATAGAGCACCGGCCCTGGATTCAGAAGGACCTGAGTTAAAATCCACACTCAGACACATAACACTTACTAGCTGTGTGACCCTGGGCAAGTCACTTAACCCCAAATGCCTCACCAAAAAGAGAGAGAGAGAGAGAGAGAGAGAGAGAGAGAGAGAGAGAGAGAGAGAGAGAGAGAGAGAGAGAGAGAGAGAGAGAGAGAGGAGGCCCTGGAATTAAGAGCGATTGAGAAAGTTTTCCTGAAGAAGATGAAATTTTAGTTTGACTTGAAGGAAGCCTGGAAAATCAGTAGGCAGAGATGAAGAGAGAGAGTGGCCCAGGTATGGGGGACAGCCGGAGAGAATGCCCAGAGCCAAGAGATTGAGTGTCTTGTTCTTGGAACAGCCAGTGACACTGAATTGAAGAACATGTGGTGAGGAGTAAAGTGCAAGAAGACTGGAAAGACTATAAGAAATGATGAACAGGATGCTCTCAGAAAAACCTGTTAAGATTTACATAAACTGATACAAAGTGAAATGTGAAGAACATTGTACACAGTAAAAGTAATATTGTATGATGATCAACTGCGAATGATTTAACTCAGGGGTGGGGATACTGCAGCCTCAAGGCCACATGAGCCTTCTAGGTCCTCAGGTTTGACCCTTTGACTGAATCCAAATTTCATAGAACAAATGCTTTTATTAAGGGGATTTGTTCTGTGAAGTTTAGATTCAGTCAAAGGGCTGCACTTGAGGACCTAGAGGGCCACATGTGGCCTCGAGGCTGCAGGTTCCCCACCCCTCAGCAATACAATAATCCAAGACAATTCTGAAGGACTTATGATGAAAAACGCTGTTTATCTCCAGAGGAAGAACTGATGGAGTCTGAATGCAGATCAAAGCATAGTTTTTCTTTGCTTTCTTTATCTTTCTTGGTTTTTTATTTGTTTGTTTTCTTTCACAACATGACTAACACGGAAATATGTTTTGTATGACTACATGATATCCAATTGCTTGTCTTCTCAATGGGGGGTGGGAGAGGAAGAGAATTGAAAACTCAAAATTTTAAAAAATGAATGTTAAAGATTGTTTTTGTGTGTAATTGGGGAGAAATAAAATATTAAATCATTTTTTAAAATTAAAAAAAGGTCAATAATATCAAGGGAATTAATGAAAAAATTAGTGAAGGATGGAAGCCTAACAATGTCAGATGTCAAACTATACAAGCAAAATGGTAAATGACCATGACCATGATTGCACCAAGACTCACTATTCAACAAAAACTGCTGGGAAAACTAGAAAGCAGCGTGGAATAAACTTGTCATAGATCAACATCTCACACTATATACCAAGATAAGGTCAAAATGGGTCCATGATTAGACATAAAGGGTGATATAAACAAATTAGAGAAGCATGGAAAATTTTCCCTATCAGATATGTGAATAAGGGAAGAGTATACAACCAAATAAGAAATAAGGAGAATCATGGAAAGTAAAATGGATAATTTTGATTACATTAAAAAGGTTTTGTACAAACAACACCAATTTAGCCAAAAATAGAAGGAAAACAGGAAACTAGAAAAAAATTTTATAGAAAGTTTCTCTGATAAAGATCTCATTTCTCAAACATATAGGGAACTAAGACAAAATTATGAAAATCGGAGTCATCCTCCAATTGATAGTCAAAGGATATGAACAAGCAGTTTTCAGAAGAAGAAATCAAAGCTATCAATAGTCATATGGAAAAATGCTCTAAGTCATTAATAATTAGAGAAATACAAATTAAAACACTTCTGAAGTACTATCTTACACCCAGATTGGCTAATGTGCCAGAAAAAGAAAATGATGAGTGCTAAGGATGTGGAAAAATAAGTACCTTAATGAATTGTTGGTGGAATAGTGAACTGATCCAACCATTCTGGAGACCAATTTGGAAATATGCCCAAAGGGTTATAAAACTGTGTATACCCTTTGACTCAGCAGTACCAATACTAGATCTGTATCCCAAAGAGATCAAAGGAAAAGGACCTATATGTGCAAAAATATTTCTGGGAAATCCTTTTTGTAGTGACAAAGCATTAGAATTTGAGGTATGACCATCAATTGGTGAATGGCTGAACAAGTTGTGGTATGTGATTGTGATGGAATACTATTATGCTGTTAAGAAATAAGGAAAGGAATACTGGAAAGACTTACATGAACTGATGCATAGTGAACTGAACAATGTAGTGAACATTGAAGTGAACCAGGAAAATATTGTACGCAATAGCAAAATTGTTTGATGAAGAACTGTGAATGATTTAGCTATTCTCAGCAACACAATGATCCAAGACAATCCCAAAGGACTAATGATGAGGCATACCATCTGCCTCCAAAGAAAGAATTGTTATTGTTTGAATGTAGACTTAAGCATGCAATTTTTCACTTTCTTTCTTTCATTTTTTTCTTTCATTTGAGTCTTCTTATACAAAATGACTTATATGGAAATGTTTTGCATGAGCGCACATGTATAACCTATGCCAGATTGCTTACCATCTCAGAAAAGGGAGAGAGGATGGAAGGATAGAATTTAGAATTCAAAACTTTAAATAAAAATGTTTAAAAATTGAAAAAAAAAAAGAAATAAGGAAGGGGATGCTTTTGGAAAAACCTGGGAAGACTTACATGGGTTGATGCAAAGTGAAGTGAGCAGTACCAGTAGAATGTTTTTCACAGTAACAGCAATATTGTAACAAAAATTAACTGTGAAAGCTTAGCTACTCTGATCATGATCACAATTCCAAAGTACTCATGATGAAAAATGCCATGCATATTCCTAAAGAGAACTGATGAACTCTGAGTGCAGATTTTTTCCACTTTCTTTATTTTTCCTACTTTTTTTTTGTTTTGGCAACATGGTAGCTAGGTGGCATAGTGGATAGAATGCTGGGCCTACAGTCACTCATCTTCCTGAGTTCAAATCTGACTTCAGACACTTACTAGCTGTGTAACACTGAGTAAGTCACTTAACCCTGCTTATCTCAGTTTCCTCAGCTGTAAAATGAGTTGAAGAAGGAAATGGAAAACCACTCCAGTATCTTTGCCAAGAAAACACTAAATGGGGTTATGAGGAGCCAGACATGACAAATGACTAAACAAGTAATATGGAAATAAGTTTTGCATGACTTCATATGTATAATAGGCATCATATTGCTTGCATTCTCAGTGAGTGGGAGACGGGCTGAAAGGAGGGTGAGAACTTGAAGCTGAAATTTTTTTTTTAAATGAATGGTAAAAAATTTTTTAAAAAAATTTTTAAAAAGGCTACAGAAGGATTAAGTAGATTGAAGACTGATAAAGGGTCCTTGGATTTGGAAATTAAGAGATAAGTAGTAACTTTGGAGAGAGCAGTTTCTGGTCTGAAGCCAGATCCAAAGAGTTTAAAATATAAAATAAAAGTGTTCTCTTTGGCATTCAAAACCCTTGATAACCTGCTCCTTTCCCACTTTGCCAGTCTTCTTATACTTCACTTACACACTCACGCCCTCACTTACTCTGGGATCCAGTGACACTGGCCTCCTTGCTGTTCCTCATTTAAGACATTTTATTTTCCTTCCTGGCCATTTTAACTGGCTATTCCCTATGCCTGGAATTCTCTCCTGCTTCATCTCTACCTCCTTTCTTCCCTGACTTCCTTTGAATCCAGTTAAAATCTTACCTTCTAAAGGAAAACTTTTTCCAATATTCTCTTAATGCTAATGCCTTCTCTGTGTTGATTATCTTCAATTTATCTTGTTATATATATATTATATATATACACATATATACCTTGTACAGTTAAAATGTATATAGTAACTATATATATGTGTATATATACATATATGTATGTAGGTGTATATATGTATATACACACACACACACACATGCATACACACCTATACATACAGTAACTATACAAGATTCATTTTGGGGACTATTGCTCAATGTTTTGTAAGGAGTCCCAGCCTACAGGTTTTGCTTAGGGGACCAAAATTTTCAGTTTCACTAATGGCTTTTCCAGTTTCCTCTAAATTAGCTGAACGCCAGCCAGGATACTGGATTTAAATGTTTAGCAATGAGCTTTAATCAAGTCACTGTGTAACATCAGAGGATAGAGATTCAAGGGGTGAAGAGATCTGGAGTTAGGAAAACGAGAGGAGAATTCCTAGAGAGTCCCGGAAATAACTGATGCTTTAGCAAGGATTGGTTGGTATTTGTTTGGCCTGACTATTGTTCCTGTCTTGAGTTCTGTCCTTTACCTCCTTTCCCTCCGCTCAGGACTGAGTGGACTCTTCTCCCCAGTTTAGGTAAGTTGGTCCTGGAAATGGGGTCTGTCCAGCTGCGGCTCTATGAGTTTCCACCTCCATCGGCTGGGAGGAGGTGGGTTAGGAGGAATCACCTCCCTATTCTACCCAGACCAGGACGCAGGAAGCGCTCTGAGCCCTGGCCGAATGAGTGCTATGAGGAAGGGTGTAGTGACTGCGCTGGGGCCAGAGAGCCAAAGTAGACATTTGCCCCTGGGGCTACCATAGATCCTGCTTGGAATGGTCAGTGAAGCTACTAAAAAAGTAAGCAGTGATTACAAAGAAGCAGCCTTGCTTCTTCAAGAATAAATTATGCTAGACTAACCTCATTTCCTTTTTAGACAGTGTTAGTTATTGTTCTAGTAGATTATGGGAATGCTACCAATATGCTGCCTAGATTTTAGAAAAGTCAAGACAGAGGTTGTTCTTTTGGTCAAGATGGAAAGACGTGACCTGAAAAGTAGTGCAGTTAGGAAGATTCAGAACTAATAAAGGTTTAATTATTAAATGGTGTAATATAAACTTGAAAGTTCTCTATTTGAAGCTTTCACATGTTTCAGAGTTTCAGGAATTCAGAGATGCAACGATAGGCACACTATTTCTATTTGTTACTTAATTTCTTCTACAATAGATACAAATCTCTAAAAGTTCTAGGTAAAATCCTACTTTTCTGTTTTTGGTTTATCAGGCAAATTATTTACATGTCTCAATTGCTATTCCCTTTAAGTTACATTGGAGTATTTGTTCTTATCCTCCCTCTCACAAAGTGACTTTACTTTTCAGTAAATCACCCTTATGGCTTATACCTGTAAGCCACTTCTTAGCAGCTTTTGTCATTTCTCTATAATTAACAGTAATTTTTGTAACTCAGGGCTGATATCTGAAGAAAAGAAATTTTCCTGCTGGAATAAGCTATCTCTTGAGCTTTAGGAGTCTTTGATGGATACAAAATTAAGGGAGGCTGTAGCCTTGGGTGTAAAGGCTCTAGTGGGGCAGGAAGGATTGCTTACAGTGGAAATGGAGGAGGAGGACCGCTACAGGGGGCAAGAATCCAGCCCGCAAAGAAATAATCCCCAGGAAAGGGAACTCTTCCGCCAACGTTTCCGTCAACTGTGCTATCAGGAGACACCAGGCCCCAGGGAGGCCCTGAGTCAACTCCAGATATTTTGCCATCAGTGGTTGAGACCAGAAATGCATACAAAGGAAAGGATCCTAGAGCTGCTGGTGCTGGAACAGTTCCTGACCATCCTGCCTGAAGAACTCCATACTTGGGTGCAAGAACATCATCCAGAGAGTGGAGAGGCAGCAGTGATTCTGTTGGAGAATTTGGAAAGAGAGCTTGATGAACCAGATCATCAGGTGGGAAGAGGGAGAAGAGTTCTACTGTGCAGAGACGAAGGTAAGTAGATCTTCAGGGAGGAAAAATTGGCAGGAAAATTGCTTAATATCAATTTCCAATTGGTTTCATACCTGTTTCTTCTTTTATGTTTTACCTACCACTAACCTTAGGAGTTAAATAAAACTCTACTTCTTTTATATCCTTTGTATCTCAGGAATGTTTAACTCAATGTTTTAAAGCCCCTACTAGGTGCAAAGAACTGTTAGAGAAGCTACATATAGAAAGGTAAAAAACTATGCAGCCCCTGAAGGAATGGATTTCATTCAGTTTACTGGGGATAAGACATGTACACAAATAAATATGGCACAAGGTAGAATGTGATAAGAAATTTAAGGAGAGAGAGATCATTTTTGGGTGAGGTAATTGGACACAATTTCATGTAGCATTGTATTTGCTTTGAAGAAAGAATGATTTTCCACAAGTGGAAATGTGAAAGGGAGTATATTTCTGGAATAGTGCCTACTCTGTACAAGTGCACAGTGAGATTAGAGAACAGTCAGTCAATAAACAATTATTAAGCTACTACTACATGCCAGGTACTATGCTAAACACTGGAAATACAAAAAAAGGCAAAAGACTATCTCTACTCTCAAGGGGCTCACAATCTAATGAGTAAAAACAAACATAAAGAGAAAATGAAAAGAGGAGGGTGAGGGAGAAGGAAGAGCAAGGGTATCTGTTGTAGGGGCATGATGAAGTCCTGCAGCCAGGTGGGAAATTAAGAGATGGCTGCCCTGGGCCCTCTCAATAAATGGAGGATCTAGGAGGAACTCTCTCATTTCCACCCTCCACCCTTTCCAATTGAAGGGAGGAAGAATGCAAGTGATCCAACTTGATGAATAGGTTAAAGGAACTAAAAATATTTAGTTTGGAGAAAAGAAGACTCAGGGATAATATAATAGTCATCTTTCAGTATTTGGAGGGCTATCATATGCAAGAGGGATTAAACTTATTCTGTTTGGTCCTAGAGGACATAATCAAGAGGGGCTAGGGACATAACCAAGGTGGGGGCAAACTTTGTCTTAAGATCAAGAAAAACTTCCTAAAAATCAGTTAGAGCTGCCCAAAAGCAGAAGTTGTGGGTTTCCCATTATTGTAAGTCTTCCAACTCTGAATTCTGGTACTGTAGAGTAAGTCGTTTCAGTTCAAGTCAATAAGCATTTAAATATTTACTGTGTTCCAGGCACTGAATTAGCTGCTGGGATGCAGACATGAAAGTGATACTGACCTTTCAAAGGACCTCAGAATTTAATAGGGAGAACAACATGTGCACAAATACATATGATATAAGAAAAAACAATAATTGCAAAGGAGAAGTCTAAGTAAAGTGCTATGAAAAATTTGATAAGGAAAATATTAACTTCAGCTGGGGAAAAGAAGGAGAGAGGATCTATGGAGCTTTCAAGGAGGAAGTAAGGAATTTCAAAAATGGATTCAGTTAATTCTAGGCATGAGTGAGCAAAAGCCACAGAGATGAGAGAGGCACGATTGAAAACAAGGGATGGTTATCCAGTTTGCCTTGCAATGTAAAGTAAGGGAAATTTAATTCACTGAACTAGGTTTGAAATAGGAAAGGGATATTAGAAATCATCTACTCCACCCCCATTTTACATATAGGGAAACTGAGACTTGTATATATGAAATGACTTGTCCAAGGTCACAAAGTGGCAGAGCTGGGATTTGATGTTGTCTCTCAAAAAAAATTTGTTGAGTATCTAATATAAGCTTACTACTCTGCTTAGGGATACAAAGACCAAAAAAATAAGATAAAATAGTTCCTGCATTCGAGGCATTTATATTCTACTGAGGAAAAGACATGTCAGTCAGTCAGTAAATGTTTCTTTAAGCACTGTACTAAGTGCTGGAGACACAGAAAGGCCAACACAAGATCACTGCCCTCAAAGAGCTCACATTTTAATGGTGAAGACAGCATACTGTGTGTGTGTGTGTGTGTGCGCGCGCGCGCGCAGGCGCGCATATGCGTCAGACACACAAAATAGATGGAAGGTAATCTAAGAGTGAGACAGCATGATGGTACAATGGATAGAGCCCTGGGCCTGGAGTCAGGAAGATCTGAGTTCAAATCCTACCTCAGACACTTACTAGCTTTGTGACCCTGGACAAGTCACTTAACTCCTATTTGTCTAAGTTCCTCATCTGTAAAATGGGGACACACTGGAGAAGGAAATGGCAAACCATTCCAGTATCTTTGTCAAGAAAAACCCACAGACAGAGTCAGACAAGCCTGAATGACTGAACAACAATCTCAGAAAGAAGGCAGTAGGAGTTGGGTGGGGGAGAGGAAGGGAATGAGGAAGAGACCCAGAAAGGTCTGCAGAAAATGGGATGTGAGGTCAGTCTTGAAGGAAGCTGGGGAAGCAAAGAGGTAAAGAAGGAGAACATTACAGGCATAGGCAACAGCCAAAAAGTCATGGAGTCAGCAAATGGAATATACTGTGGGAGAAATAAGAAGGCCAATGTTGCTGAAAACTGTGGTCATTGGTAATGGAGACAGGGACTAATAAAATATAGGAGGAAAATATGCTTTCTGATCAGGAAGTTT